GCTCCCCTGTGTCTTGATTAGCCCTTCTCTTTCCTTTGTTTTTCCTGTTTTTAAAACTTTGTTGATCTGTTGATTATAAGCCTGCATAAATCTATGTCATCTTAACATATATAACTCAAGTAATATATTCTCTTTTCAATATGTTCACACCCTTAACCCTCTCTACTCCTTATTTTTTCAAACAGTTCTTGAAAGGCCAATTTCCATCCTCTAGGGACTACCTCCTTATCTTCCACTTGCTCGTTGCAGTTTGGTATCTGTCCCTGCCATGCATGGATGGTGCCTTCCTGCTTGATGCTTAGGTTTTTTTTGTTTTGTTTTCTTTGTGTGTGTGTGTGTGTGTGTGTGTGTGTGTGTGTTTTACCTTCACTGGCTTCTCTCTACATTTGTATTTCCCCAGAATTTCAACCACAGACCAGTCTTCATACCTTGAACCAATGTCTTCTATTTTAGAGCTTCAAATACTACATGTGTTCTAATGTTTTGCCTTCTCCCTTAAACACATTCTCATGTACTTAACTATTACACTTGGCTGTTTACTGGGCCCTCAGTTTAATGTATCTGAACAAATCATTATCACTTCCTCTTGAAGACTACAGTTTTTTGCATATCAGGTAATAGGACCGGCACCCTTTGCCATGCTGGAAACTGCCTCTTTCTTCCATTATGTCAAGTCAGTTCTTGGTGCCACTAACTTTTCCTCTTAAATTTATTATTTTCTTGTTTATTCCTACCATTGCTGCTCTTGTTTTAGGTTTTTATCATATTTCACTTTTTAATAATCCCAAACTGATTTCCTTTCCTCCGAGCAAAACTCCTACTTAAATTTATCCTACAGATAGTTATATTTAAAATGCACTTCTGACCATCTCACTTTCTTACTTAAAATACACGGTGGTTTTCCATCATGTGTAGGATAAATTCCTTTCTCCTTGGCATGACATACAAGGCTTTCATATTCACATATTAGGCATTTCAGTAATTATTGTTGTACTGAACTGAAACAGTCAGCGTGGACAGAGTTACCAGGTAGGTTGCACCACCACTCATATAAATCATGTATCACTTAATGATGAAGACACATTCTAAGAAATGTGTCATTAGACAATTTTGTCAGTGTGCAAACATCATAGAGTGTGCTTACACAAACCTAGATGTTATAACCTACTATATACCTATATGGTATAGCCTATTGCTCCTATTCTACAAATCTGAGCAAGATTACTGTACTGAATACTGTAGGCAGTTGTAACACAGTGATAAGTATCTGCATTTCTAAACATAGAAAAGGTACAGTAAGAAAACTATAAAAGAGAAAAAAGTGGTACGCCTGTATAAGGCACTTGCCATGAATGGAGGTTACGGAACTGGAAGTGTCTCTTGAGTGAGTTGGTTAGTAGTGAGTGAATGTGAAGGCCTAGAATGTTATTGTACACTACTGTAGACTTTATAAAACTGTACACTTAGGCTATACTGTTTGTCTAAAAAGTTTTTTTCTTCAATAACAAATTAACTTTAGCGTACTATAACTTTTTTATGTTATAAACTTTTTAATTTTTGAAACTTTTGACTCTCTTGTAATGATACTTGGCTTAAAACATATACATTCTACAGCTGTACACAAATAATATTTATATCCTTATAAGCTTTTTTCTGTTATTAAAATTTTTAATTTTTTTTTACCTTTAAAACTTTTGTTAAAAACTAAGACGACACAGACACACACATCAGCGTGGGCCTATACAGGGTCAAAATCATTCATATCAATATCTTCTCCTACATCTTGTCCCACTGGAAAGTCTTCAGGGGCAATAACATGGAGCTTTCATCTAGGAAAACTGTGCTTTCTTCTGGAATACCTCCTGAAGGACTTGCCTGAAGCTGTTTTGCAGTTAATTTTTTTTTAATAAGTAGAAGGAGTACACTCTGTAATAATAGTAAGACATATAGTGTCGTAAATACATAAACCAATTACACAGTCATTTATCATTATCAAGTATTATGTGCTGTACATAATTGAATGTGCTTAACTTTTATACACTGGCAGTGCAGTAGGTTTTTTTTAATACCAACTTTATCTCAAACACATGGTAGTGTGTTGCACTATGAATGTCTCTATTATCCCTTTACTTAAAATTTTTATATTACCATCCTGTAAGTTATTAATATTAAACATTTACTATTTTTTAAGAAATTAAATGTTTATCAAATATGTGCCATGTCAGTCAGTACACTTAGTGCCCTGGAAAATGAAAAAGACAAGATTTCCTTTTTTTTTTTTTTTAAGGTTTCCTGTGTTTCAAGAGATCACAGCAAAGTGGATGGTGCAGAAAGACAGGCCTTGCAATAGGATGTGAGAAAGGTCATGACAGTTATGCCCATTCTATTGTGGGAACACTAGAGGCAGGCTAGCTTCAAGTTCATGTGAAGATCAAGGCTCAGATCTAGAGAACATGTCCCTAGCTTGTTCAGGCTGCTTTTTGGTTGGACCCCATTTGTCTTCCAGCCTACCCTGTAGTCCAGTCATACTGAACGGCTCACTTTCTCCTGAATGTGGTGTGACCCTTCATGACTTTTGTCTGTCTCCAGTGCTTATTTCACTTTTTTTGCTTAGTACATTGTTTCTACTCACCTTTTAAATCCGAACTCAAATAGTGCCTCCTGTCCTGCCTAGCCCAGAAAGTTAGGTGCTCCCTTTCACGTGCCCGCAGTACTCTGCTCATATCCTAAGGTTCATCACAGTATATTATCTGCATTATCTGTTCGTGCGTGCTCTCTCTCTCTCTCTCTCTCTCTCTCTCTGTCTCTGTCTCTCTCTCCGCCCCCAACTCCCTCCTTCCCTCCCTCCCTCTCCCCCGCCGTCTCCCTCTCCCTCCCTCCCTCCCCCATGACACTCACAGCTCTTCAGAGACAGATGGTGATCTAAGTGTCCTTGTACTATGATACCTAGCTGGCATATTAGTTAAAGTAAAATACCAAATATCATGAGTCTTAATTAACTTTACTATTATATGTTATCATATACACTTTTGGTTTATACACTAGTACACTTTTTCATTTTCTTTTTTTTTTTTTTGAGACGGAGTTTCACTCTTGTTGCCCAGGCTGGAGTGCAATGGCGCGATCTCGGCTCACCGCAACCTCCGCCTCCTGGGTTCAGGCAATTCTCCTGCCTCAGCCTCCTGAGTAGCTGGGATTACAGGCATGCGCCACCATGCCCAGCTAATTTTTTGTATTTTTAGTAGAGACGGGGTTTCACCATGTTGACAAGGATGGTCTCGATCTCTTGACCTCGTGATCCACCCGCCTCGGCCTCCCAAAGTGCTGGGATTACAGGCGTGAGCCACCACGCCCGGCCATTTTCTTAATACTTACACCAGCCAGGCATCCTTCACATTTGTTTAGTACAGTCCATTTAAATCACAAAGGTTCTATAGACTACTATATGCTAGGTCTTGTGTTAGGTACTAGGAATGTAAAAATGAGTAAGGTTTATTCCTGCTGGCAAGGGGCTCACAATGGAGGAAAGAAGACAGAGAAACAGACACCTGTCACAATTTCTACTCAGTATGAAGTGTGATAGATGCTGTGATACTAGAAAGCTCAGAGTGCTTTGCGGTAGGCATGACAATGATACATGGTAAGTATAACTCACCTAGTTGCTTGGAGTCAGGGAAAGCGTCCCAGATGAACTGCACTTTGAGTTGAATCTTGAGAAAGGAAAGAAGCAGAAAGGGAGCAGCTTGGAAGGATGTGAGAGACCAAGGTGCTCTGGGGAAACTGCAGCTTGTTCATTCTGATTCGACTAAGAGTAGGGCTTCAGACAGAGAACAGGGGAGAGTCTAGACTGGATCTGTAGACAGGGTTCGGATTGTGTCTGATCAGACTATCATACTTAAGCGTTTAAACTGTTATACTGAAGGTAGTGGAGAGCCACTGAATAATTTTCAGCAAGTTTTAATCAAATTTATGTTTGTAATGTTATGTTTTGTAGCTTCTGTGCTTCCTTCCCTCCTCCTTTTTCATATATTTTCATATTCTATCTGATTATTTCCCTTATTTGTAAGTGATGCTTTAATGTTTTCTTTCTCTGCTCAGTTGGAGTATTCTTAAATACTCAATGTCAGGTATATAACCACTTATCTCTAACCATCTATGGGAAAGAAGTATTGAATAGACATACTGTATCAGTTTTGCCAGTGTTCTGTGTGTTACTTTACTGCTTAATTTTGAGTTGTCTTTCTCTTTTACTAATGTGCTATTCGAAATTTGATTTTCTTTTAATTACCAAATTGATTTTGTTTTAATTACCTGTTTAATTACCAATCTTGTCTTGTGGAGACATAAAAGATACTACAATGAGTAACAACAGTCAAAATACCTGCCAAACCAGAAATTCACCATCCCTTTGGTGATTTTTTATTTAAAGAAGAACAAGCATGGTGGTCCTGTAGTCCCAGCTACTCAGGAGGCTGAGGCAAGAGGATCACCTAAGCCCAGGAGTTTGAGCCCAGCCTTGGTCAGCATAATGACCGTCTCTGTCTCTCTGTCTCTCTCTCTGTCTGTCTGTCTCTCTCTCTCTCTAAAGAAGAGCATGAAATTCCTAATAAGCCACAAAGGGTCAATTCTGTTATTCCAATATTCTTAAACAAAAATTAATTTTTTAAATAATATTATATATATGAGACCTTATGTAGGTTTGTTTTTTAGATAATTTTAGAATATGTGGCCTTTGCAAATTTAACTAGAAATTTGAGATTTGTGTGACATTATTAATACCTCACAAAATTTATCCTTATTGTTACTGAGTAAAATCAACTAGCTAGTTGTGTAAAATCTAGCTACAGCCATATACCTTGTTGGGCTTAATTTTCTGCATCAAAATAATGTTTGTGTTAGATGATTTCTAAAGTGTTTTTCTGTTTACAATTTTTGTATCCTTCATCTAATAAATTTTTCCAAATTATTTTTCATGTAGTACACACATGGTCTTCTGAAGAAGCCATGGGTAGCTGTTGTAGCTGTCCAGATAAAGACACTGTCCCAGATAACCATCGGAACAAGTTTAAGGTCAGTAAAACTGGTTGAGTTATATATCTTACTGCCTACTTGGATGTTCTTCTTTTATTTCACTTAACTGATCTTACTCCTGGCTTTTATCACCAAACTCTTCTATTTCCCTTTCTTTCTGCCTTGTCTTTTCTTGATTTAATAAATGATGACAACATTTTCTTAGTACGGAATTTTTTTTTAGTTTTCCTTTGATCTCTTCTATCTAATTAGCCATACAATTCTGGTAACGCTGTCTTTAAAGTACCATTTCACAGGGTGGCTTTTCAGTCAAATCACTATCTGTCTTTCAGTTATTATTTTCATGCATGCCTGCATGATTTTTTAACTGGACTCTTACCTCAAGTCACCCTCTGATTCATCCTGTAGTCACCATCAAATTAATCTTCTTCTTTCATCATTCACTAACCTGTTTGCCAAAACTTCTGTGCTGTTATGTTACCTATAGGTTAAATACTCCCATAGTTGTTTTGTGTCTCATAATCTGACCTCGATCTGCTATAAAAAATAGCCTTGATCACACAAACCTAGGTGTAAGTCTGTTACTTTATAAGCTTCGTGACCTTGGGCAGGCTACATTATTACTAAGTCTTACTTCCATTTTTTGTACAATGTAGTCTAGGATTGTTATGAGTGTTAAATGAGAAAAATTATACATATAAAGCTCTTTTCTCACTCCCAGGGGAATAGTAACTTCTCCCTAAATGTTATCTACTATTCTTAGTCTTTGGATGTTTTCTGAAGCTCAGCAGTACAAAACCTTTGCTTATATGAACTCCATGCCAATCTTATTTTGGTCTCTTTGAAAGGTACTTTCTTTGTTCTGCTTTAACATTGTGTCTTCATGATGTACCCTGTATCTCCTGACCCACTACATTTCCCTTCTTATTTTATTTTGTGAGTAAATTTAATTATACTAGCAGTCCAGCTAAAGGCCTTCCTCCTGTTATGTGAAGGTGTCTCAACAGCCTTAGACCACAGTTCCTGCCTTCTGCAACCTCTGTTGCATTCGTCACTTGATCATATATGTTTTGTGGTTTGTATATTTTGTTTCCTCAGTGGAAATATAAATTTCTTACTGATCTGAACTGAGTGTTACACTGCTACGTAGACCATGGCTGACACACACATTATTTGATGAATGAACTAACAAATTACAAATAACTAATTAGCAACAATGCATTTTCCTGACAAATTGGTGAAATATTTGTATGACTATTAACATTTTTTTAGGTCATTAATGTGGATGATGATGGGAATGAGTTAGGTTCTGGCATAATGGAACTTACAGACACAGAGCTGATTTTATACACCCGCAAACGTGACTCAGTAAAATGGCACTACCTCTGCCTGCGACGCTATGGCTATGACTCGAATCTCTTTTCTTTTGAAAGTGGTCGAAGGTGTCAAACTGGACAAGGTAGAACCTTTGTTTTTTTCCCAAATATTATATTTGAAATATTGCTTTCAGCTATTTTATATAAAAAGAATATTTTTTTCTCCTGAAAAAAATCCCAAAATAAATAGGTTGTTAAGAAAAGATATAGTATACTATGTATTCATTTATCAAGTTTTTATTAAGCATATTGTCTATGTGGGAAATTTTGGCTCATGTTAACTTTAAGATTTTTTAGTAAATGATTAGGCCTGCTAAATTGACTAAGTGTCTTTATCATTGGTTTTTTTTACCACCTGCTACTTGAATGGCTTTGACAAGTTACAAGAGTTCTGTTGAATGTTAAGTTTCTTCTCTATAAAATGGAAATGGTAATACCTATCTTATACTTATTGTAATAATTAAACAAGATAACGATTGGAAAACACCTAGGGACTTTGCAAGGGGCCTGTTACATGGGAAATGATCACCTTGGAATGGTGAGTTGGGCTCCCCCTGCTGTTAAAAAACAGACTAGCGTAACTGTGCAGGTCTTGATTTCATTAGCTTTATTTTGGGCCATCTCCTTTAGATGAATGAAAATTATTCCGTAAACTTTTGGCAGGGGTTTGTTTTGAAACAGGGAATAATCAGTAATTTGTCATATATTTATTTAAAAGGGATTTCTTACTCTTGGTGCATAGAATGCTTACTTTACAATTCTGCTCTTTGTCAAGTCTTCCTATAGTTTTTTTAAAGGTATATTAACTATTTTTCCCTTTTGGTTTATATTTGTAGGAATCTTTGCCTTTAAGTGTGCCCGTGCAGAAGAATTATTTAACATGTTGCAAGAGATTATGCAAAATAATAGTATAAATGTGGTGGAAGAGCCAGTTGTAGAAAGAAATAATCATCAGACAGAATTGGAAGTCCCTAGAACACCTCGAACACCTACAAGTAGGTACCCATTTTTCCTCTCACATTTTGAGTAACAGGTCTTTAGTTGTAAGCTATAAATTATGGATATTTAGTCTGTAACACACTGGAAATCACCATTGGATAACAGAAGTATAATGATTGTCAGTTTTCAAAAACAGCTGTAATTCTAAGTACATCAAATATTTTAAAAATGAAAACACTATTTCATAATATCTAAAATATGGAGTAGGTGGGTAATACTATTTCTGATTTCTGCTGTCTTGGCAGAAAGACCTTCTATAATCCTCTCAGTACAGATTCGATTCTTACTAATTTTTATTCTCTTTGCCCTACCCTGCTCTTCCTTAAACCAATAAACAAAAATTCAGCTCCAGGATTTGCTGCTCAGAACTTACCTAATGGATATCCCCGATATCCCTCATTTGGAGATGCTTCATCCCATCCTTCAAGCAGACATCCTTCTGTGGGAAGTGCTCGCCTGCCTTCAGTAGGGGAAGAATCTACACATCCTTTGCTTGTGGCTGAGGAACAAGTAAGCATGTGCTACTGTGTAACAACAGCAATAATGATTCTTCAGAGTTAGCTGTGCTAATACTGGAAGATTTTATTCAGCTTGAAATTTAACTTTCACTGTTTGTAAATTACTTTCATAGTGAACAGTCAAAGGAAATAGCATATATTTGCTGGTGTAAACTCAAATACATGTGGGTATTCAGGGGAACTTACCATTACAGTAGCTTGTGGGTTCACAAGAGAGGTGTATCTATAGACTAAGAAAGGCATAACTTATGGTCAGTTCTCATTATAAGAACCTCCAGTGGATTAAGAGATTATGCTGCTTTTCATACTTTAGTCATTATAGTCAGTGAACTACTAGTAGGAAAGTAGATTTTGCTGTTAATGTTATGGAGTTATTTAGTGTTCCTGAGTATTCTGGTTTTCATGTGTGGAATGAAGTATCTGGTTCAAACCTCTGTATTAATTAGTTATACTTAGGTTTTGTAAACCGTATGTCACATTAAAAAGTTTTTAGTGTTTTTAAAATCAGTTTCTTTGTGTTCTTTACACAGTGAGTTCTTATATTATTTACTGTAATTACATTTTTTCTTGTTTTGCATTTATTTTTGAATCTTTAAACTTCTATATATAGTCTTCTAAATATTTTTATATTATCTCCCCGCAATATCATTAAGCTTTTATAAATAGTGATAGTTTCTTACTAGGTGGCATTTATTTTATATCTATGCATTTGATAGAACTCTTATTAAATCTAGCAGAGTTTATCTCCTTATACAGTCAGATCATCAGTAATTAAGGATAAATTTATCTCTTCCTTTTCAAAGTTATTATTTCTTATTTCTGAGTCATGTTTTAATGCTTTGATGAGAACCTCTACAACAGCAACAAAATGGTAATCTCTATTTTGTTCCTGATTTTTATTTTATACATAATATTTATTTTGTTTAACTAGCAGATATAATGCCTGTTATTTTATTTTTTTAGATGAAATCTCACTCTATCGCCCAGGCTGGTGTGTAATGGTCCAGTGTCGGCCCACTGCAACCTCTGCCTCCCAGGTTCAAGCGATTCTAGTGCTTCAGCCTCCCAAGTATCTGGGATTACAGGCATCCACCACCACGCCTGGCTAATTTTTGTATTTTTAGTAGAGTCAGGGTTTCACCATGTTGGCCAGGCTGGTCTTGAACTCCTGACCTCAAGTGATACACCCACTTCAGTGTCCCAGAGTGCTGGGAGTACAGGCTTTAGCCACTGCACCCAGCCTGCATGTTATTTTAAAGTAGTTATTCTTTTATCAAACTAGGAAGACATTTCTATAATTTAAAAAAAAAAAGGTGCAAAAGTTTTGGAGTAAGAGTACATTTGGAGAGAAAAAAGTTAATAAAATTAACTGATATGGCCAGGCTTTTTTCATTCTTTTAAGTAAGTTAACTAATTCACTTTCTGTTTTGGTTTAGGTCCATACCTATGTCAACACTACAGGTGTGCAAGAAGAGCAGAAAAACCGAATAAGTGTGCATGTTCCATTGGAGGCAAGGGTTTCTAACGCTGAAAGCAACACACCAAAAGAAGAACCAAGTAGTATTGAAGACAGGGATCCTCAGATTCTTCTTGAATCTGAAGGGGTCAAATTTGTTTTAGGGCCAACCCCTGTTCAAAAGCAATTAATGGAAAAAGAGAAACTGGAGCAACTTGGAAGAGATCAAGTTAGTGGAAGTGGAGCAAATAACACAGAATGGGACACTGGCTATGACAGTGATGAACGAAGAGATGCACCCTCTGTTAACAAACTGGTGTATGAAAATATAAATGGGCTATCTATCCCTAGTGCCTCAGGGGTCAGGAGAGGTCGTCTGACATCCACCAGTACCTCAGATACCCAGAATATCAACAACTCAGCTCAGAGAAGAACTGCATTATTAAACTATGAAAATCTACCATCATTGCCTCCTGTTTGGGAAGCCCGCAAGCTAAGTAGGGATGAAGATGACAATTTAGGACCAAAGACCCCATCTCTAAATGGCTACCATAATAATCTAGATCCAATGCATAACTATGTAAATACAGAGAATGTAACAGTGCCGGCAAGTGCTCACAAAATAGAATATTCAAGGCGTCGGGACTGTACACCAACAGTCTTTAACTTTGATATCAGACGCCCAAGTTTAGAACACAGGCAGCTTAATTACATACAGGTTGACTTGGAAGGTGGCAGTGACTCTGACAACCCTCAAACTCCAAAAACGCCTACAACTCCCCTTCCACAAACCCCTACCAGGCGCACAGAGCTGTATGCCGTGATAGACATCGAGAGAACTGCTGCTATGTCAAATTTGCAGAAAGCACTGCCACGAGATGATGGTACATCTAGGAAAACTAGACACAATAGTACTGATCTGCCCATGTGAGCCTGGAAAGCATTATGTTGTTTGCACCTTTGTGAAGTTTTTAAAAATGAAGATGCAAGTGCTTCATTTTCATTTCTAAACACTAACTCCTTTTATAGACTGATAAAATTTTTTCTGAATATTTCATGTGCATCTTTAACTAAAGGGAATTAATGTAGAGCAGGTACTCCTTAAAGAACACTAATTTCATTATATACTACTCATTGTACAGCAGCATTCCTGTTTTCACAGTGCCTATTTAAAATGAGAGTTGAAGTGAATGACATGCTGGTTGATTTTTATCAATATTATGGACTTATGCATATCTTTCATGTCTAAGTCATGCTTGGCTTTTAAAACTTTTTATAAAGCCTCCTGACAATGTGCATTGCTAACAGATAACTATAGGCTTTGAGAGTAATGCTCATAGATTCACTCTTCACAGTATGTGGCCTCCAGCATGTAACATGAGGAATTCTTTATTTCATTAATTAAAGGCTTTTTGACTTGAGCCAAAACATANGTTTAATTACCAATCTTGTCTTGTGGAGACATAAAAGATACTACAATGAGTAACAACAGTCAAAATACCTGCCAAACCAGAAATTCACCATCCCTTTGGTGATTTTTTATTTAAAGAAGAACAAGCATGGTGGTCCTGTAGTCCCAGCTACTCAGGAGGCTGAGGCAAGAGGATCACCTAAGCCCAGGAGTTTGAGCCCAGCCTTGGTCAGCATAATGACCGTCTCTGTCTCTCTGTCTCTCTCTCTGTCTGTCTGTCTCTCTCTCTCTCTAAAGAAGAGCATGAAATTCCTAATAAGCCACAAAGGGTCAATTCTGTTATTCCAATATTCTTAAACAAAAATTAATTTTTTAAATAATATTATATATATGAGACCTTATGTAGGTTTGTTTTTTAGATAATTTTAGAATATGTGGCCTTTGCAAATTTAACTAGAAATTTGAGATTTGTGTGACATTATTAATACCTCACAAAATTTATCCTTATTGTTACTGAGTAAAATCAACTAGCTAGTTGTGTAAAATCTAGCTACAGCCATATACCTTGTTGGGCTTAATTTTCTGCATCAAAATAATGTTTGTGTTAGATGATTTCTAAAGTGTTTTTCTGTTTACAATTTTTGTATCCTTCATCTAATAAATTTTTCCAAATTATTTTTCATGTAGTACACACATGGTCTTCTGAAGAAGCCATGGGTAGCTGTTGTAGCTGTCCAGATAAAGACACTGTCCCAGATAACCATCGGAACAAGTTTAAGGTCAGTAAAACTGGTTGAGTTATATATCTTACTGCCTACTTGGATGTTCTTCTTTTATTTCACTTAACTGATCTTACTCCTGGCTTTTATCACCAAACTCTTCTATTTCCCTTTCTTTCTGCCTTGTCTTTTCTTGATTTAATAAATGATGACAACATTTTCTTAGTACGGAATTTTTTTTTAGTTTTCCTTTGATCTCTTCTATCTAATTAGCCATACAATTCTGGTAACGCTGTCTTTAAAGTACCATTTCACAGGGTGGCTTTTCAGTCAAATCACTATCTGTCTTTCAGTTATTATTTTCATGCATGCCTGCATGATTTTTTAACTGGACTCTTACCTCAAGTCACCCTCTGATTCATCCTGTAGTCACCATCAAATTAATCTTCTTCTTTCATCATTCACTAACCTGTTTGCCAAAACTTCTGTGCTGTTATGTTACCTATAGGTTAAATACTCCCATAGTTGTTTTGTGTCTCATAATCTGACCTCGATCTGCTATAAAAAATAGCCTTGATCACACAAACCTAGGTGTAAGTCTGTTACTTTATAAGCTTCGTGACCTTGGGCAGGCTACATTATTACTAAGTCTTACTTCCATTTTTTGTACAATGTAGTCTAGGATTGTTATGAGTGTTAAATGAGAAAAATTATACATATAAAGCTCTTTTCTCACTCCCAGGGGAATAGTAACTTCTCCCTAAATGTTATCTACTATTCTTAGTCTTTGGATGTTTTCTGAAGCTCAGCAGTACAAAACCTTTGCTTATATGAACTCCATGCCAATCTTATTTTGGTCTCTTTGAAAGGTACTTTCTTTGTTCTGCTTTAACATTGTGTCTTCATGATGTACCCTGTATCTCCTGACCCACTACATTTCCCTTCTTATTTTATTTTGTGAGTAAATTTAATTATACTAGCAGTCCAGCTAAAGGCCTTCCTCCTGTTATGTGAAGGTGTCTCAACAGCCTTAGACCACAGTTCCTGCCTTCTGCAACCTCTGTTGCATTCGTCACTTGATCATATATGTTTTGTGGTTTGTATATTTTGTTTCCTCAGTGGAAATATAAATTTCTTACTGATCTGAACTGAGTGTTACACTGCTACGTAGACCATGGCTGACACACACATTATTTGATGAATGAACTAACAAATTACAAATAACTAATTAGCAACAATGCATTTTCCTGACAAATTGGTGAAATATTTGTATGACTATTAACATTTTTTTAGGTCATTAATGTGGATGATGATGGGAATGAGTTAGGTTCTGGCATAATGGAACTTACAGACACAGAGCTGATTTTATACACCCGCAAACGTGACTCAGTAAAATGGCACTACCTCTGCCTGCGACGCTATGGCTATGACTCGAATCTCTTTTCTTTTGAAAGTGGTCGAAGGTGTCAAACTGGACAAGGTAGAACCTTTGTTTTTTTCCCAAATATTATATTTGAAATATTGCTTTCAGCTATTTTATATAAAAAGAATATTTTTTTCTCCTGAAAAAAATCCCAAAATAAATAGGTTGTTAAGAAAAGATATAGTATACTATGTATTCATTTATCAAGTTTTTATTAAGCATATTGTCTATGTGGGAAATTTTGGCTCATGTTAACTTTAAGATTTTTTAGTAAATGATTAGGCCTGCTAAATTGACTAAGTGTCTTTATCATTGGTTTTTTTTACCACCTGCTACTTGAATGGCTTTGACAAGTTACAAGAGTTCTGTTGAATGTTAAGTTTCTTCTCTATAAAATGGAAATGGTAATACCTATCTTATACTTATTGTAATAATTAAACAAGATAACGATTGGAAAACACCTAGGGACTTTGCAAGGGGCCTGTTACATGGGAAATGATCACCTTGGAATGGTGAGTTGGGCTCCCCCTGCTGTTAAAAAACAGACTAGCGTAACTGTGCAGGTCTTGATTTCATTAGCTTTATTTTGGGCCATCTCCTTTAGATGAATGAAAATTATTCCGTAAACTTTTGGCAGGGGTTTGTTTTGAAACAGGGAATAATCAGTAATTTGTCATATATTTATTTAAAAGGGATTTCTTACTCTTGGTGCATAGAATGCTTACTTTACAATTCTGCTCTTTGTCAAGTCTTCCTATAGTTTTTTTAAAGGTATATTAACTATTTTTCCCTTTTGGTTTATATTTGTAGGAATCTTTGCCTTTAAGTGTGCCCGTGCAGAAGAATTATTTAACATGTTGCAAGAGATTATGCAAAATAATAGTATAAATGTGGTGGAAGAGCCAGTTGTAGAAAGAAATAATCATCAGACAGAATTGGAAGTCCCTAGAACACCTCGAACACCTACAAGTAGGTACCCATTTTTCCTCTCACATTTTGAGTAACAGGTCTTTAGTTGTAAGCTATAAATTATGGATATTTAGTCTGTAACACACTGGAAATCACCATTGGATAACAGAAGTATAATGATTGTCAGTTTTCAAAAACAGCTGTAATTCTAAGTACATCAAATATTTTAAAAATGAAAACACTATTTCATAATATCTAAAATATGGAGTAGGTGGGTAATACTATTTCTGATTTCTGCTGTCTTGGCAGAAAGACCTTCTATAATCCTCTCAGTACAGATTCGATTCTTACTAATTTTTATTCTCTTTGCCCTACCCTGCTCTTCCTTAAACCAATAAACAAAAATTCAGCTCCAGGATTTGCTGCTCAGAACTTACCTAATGGATATCCCCGATATCCCTCATTTGGAGATGCTTCATCCCATCCTTCAAGCAGACATCCTTCTGTGGGAAGTGCTCGCCTGCCTTCAGTAGGGGAAGAATCTACACATCCTTTGCTTGTGGCTGAGGAACAAGTAAGCATGTGCTACTGTGTAACAACAGCAATAATGATTCTTCAGAGTTAGCTGTGCTAATACTGGAAGATTTTATTCAGCTTGAAATTTAACTTTCACTGTTTGTAAATTACTTTCATAGTGAACAGTCAAAGGAAATAGCATATATTTGCTGGTGTAAACTCAAATACATGTGGGTATTCAGGGGAACTTACCATTACAGTAGCTTGTGGGTTCACAAGAGAGGTGTATCTATAGACTAAGAAAGGCATAACTTATGGTCAGTTCTCATTATAAGAACCTCCAGTGGATTAAGAGATTATGCTGCTTTTCATACTTTAGTCATTATAGTCAGTGAACTACTAGTAGGAAAGTAGATTTTGCTGTTAATGTTATGGAGTTATTTAGTGTTCCTGAGTATTCTGGTTTTCATGTGTGGAATGAAGTATCTGGTTCAAACCTCTGTATTAATTAGTTATACTTAGGTTTTGTAAACCGTATGTCACATTAAAAAGTTTTTAGTGTTTTTAAAATCAGTTTCTTTGTGTTCTTTACACAGTGAGTTCTTATATTATTTACTGTAATTACATTTTTTCTTGTTTTGCATTTATTTTTGAATCTTTAAACTTCTATATATAGTCTTCTAAATATTTTTATATTATCTCCCCGCAATATCATTAAGCTTTTATAAATAGTGATAGTTTCTTACTAGGTGGCATTTATTTTATATCTATGCATTTGATAGAACTCTTATTAAATCTAGCAGAGTTTATCTCCTTATACAGTCAGATCATCAGTAATTAAGGATAAATTTATCTCTTCCTTTTCAAAGTTATTATTTCTTATTTCTGAGTCATGTTTTAATGCTTTGATGAGAACCTCTACAACAGCAACAAAATGGTAATCTCTATTTTGTTCCTGATTTTTATTTTATACATAATATTTATTTTGTTTAACTAGCAGATATAATGCCTGTTATTTTATTTTTTTAGATGAAATCTCACTCTATCGCCCAGGCTGGTGTGTAATGGTCCAGTGTCGGCCCACTGCAACCTCTGCCTCCCAGGTTCAAGCGATTCTAGTGCTTCAGCCTCCCAAGTATCTGGGATTACAGGCATCCACCACCACGCCTGGCTAATTTTTGTATTTTTAGTAGAGTCAGGGTTTCACCATGTTGGCCAGGCTGGTCTTGAACTCCTGACCTCAAGTGATACACCCACTTCAGTGTCCCAGAGTGCTGGGAGTACAGGCTTTAGCCACTGCACCCAGCCTGCATGTTATTTTAAAGTAGTTATTCTTTTATCAAACTAGGAAGACATTTCTATAATTTAAAAAAAAAAAGGTGCAAAAGTTTTGGAGTAAGAGTACATTTGGAGAGAAAAAAGTTAATAAAATTAACTGATATGGCCAGGCTTTTTTCATTCTTTTAAGTAAGTTAACTAATTCACTTTCTGTTTTGGTTTAGGTCCATACCTATGTCAACACTACAGGTGTGCAAGAAGAGCAGAAAAACCGAATAAGTGTGCATGTTCCATTGGAGGCAAGGGTTTCTAACGCTGAAAGCAACACACCAAAAGAAGAACCAAGTAGTATTGAAGACAGGGATCCTCAGATTCTTCTTGAATCTGAAGGGGTCAAATTTGTTTTAGGGCCAACCCCTGTTCAAAAGCAATTAATGGAAAAAGAGAAACTGGAGCAACTTGGAAGAGATCAAGTTAGTGGAAGTGGAGCAAATAACACAGAATGGGACACTGGCTATGACAGTGATGAACGAAGAGATGCACCCTCTGTTAACAAACTGGTGTATGAAAATATAAATGGGCTATCTATCCCTAGTGCCTCAGGGGTCAGGAGAGGTCGTCTGACATCCACCAGTACCTCAGATACCCAGAATATCAACAACTCAGCTCAGAGAAGAACTGCATTATTAAACTATGAAAATCTACCATCATTGCCTCCTGTTTGGGAAGCCCGCAAGCTAAGTAGGGATGAAGATGACAATTTAGGACCAAAGACCCCATCTCTAAATGGCTACCATAATAATCTAGATCCAATGCATAACTATGTAAATACAGAGAATGTAACAGTGCCGGCAAGTGCTCACAAAATAGAATATTCAAGGCGTCGGGACTGTACACCAACAGTCTTTAACTTTGATATCAGACGCCCAAGTTTAGAACACAGGCAGCTTAATTACATACAGGTTGACTTGGAAGGTGGCAGTGACTCTGACAACCCTCAAACTCCAAAAACGCCTACAACTCCCCTTCCACAAACCCCTACCAGGCGCACAGAGCTGTATGCCGTGATAGACATCGAGAGAACTGCTGCTATGTCAAATTTGCAGAAAGCACTGCCACGAGATGATGGTACATCTAGGAAAACTAGACACAATAGTACTGATCTGCCCATGTGAGCCTGGAAAGCATTATGTTGTTTGCACCTTTGTGAAGTTTTTAAAAATGAAGATGCAAGTGCTTCATTTTCATTTCTAAACACTAACTCCTTTTATAGACTGATAAAATTTTTTCTGAATATTTCATGTGCATCTTTAACTAAAGGGAATTAATGTAGAGCAGGTACTCCTTAAAGAACACTAATTTCATTATATACTACTCATTGTACAGCAGCATTCCTGTTTTCACAGTGCCTATTTAAAATGAGAGTTGAAGTGAATGACATGCTGGTTGATTTTTATCAATATTATGGACTTATGCATATCTTTCATGTCTAAGTCATGCTTGGCTTTTAAAACTTTTTATAAAGCCTCCTGACAATGTGCATTGCTAACAGATAACTATAGGCTTTGAGAGTAATGCTCATAGATTCACTCTTCACAGTATGTGGCCTCCAGCATGTAACATGAGGAATTCTTTATTTCATTAATTAAAGGCTTTTTGACTTGAGCCAAAACAGAAGTACCACACCTCCTCTAGTACCAGTCAGCTCCTTTGCCTTCATTGTTACTAGAAAGAAGCCTGTGTCCATGAATATGGTTTGCTGTTGGTGCATTGAAAGGCAGGAAGGAGACAAGATTTTCTATTTACTCATCTCATGATGTCATTTGAAGGGCATGTCCAGATATCTTACTCAGAATTATAATAGGCTCAAGAATTAGTCTCAGGTCACTTTACCCAAAAACATTTGAAAATCTGAACCACGATCTCTTGGAAGTTTCTCTCCTATAGATTATTGACAACATATTGTTTTCTGGAGGCATTTGTGCCATTAGGTTTTCATTTGTCTTCGATTTTTTCTTTGGTGTTCGGGATATCTTATTTTTGTTGCCGTATGTCCTTTTCAATTTAAAATGTTTGAGTTTGTATATAGTTTTGAAATTGGACTATGTGTTCATTGTTGTTTAGTTTGCATTTTTGTCAAAGTACGGTTTTGAAGGCTCATTTGGAACTTACTGTTATTCTATAACAGGGTTGCCCTTGTCCAGTATTTATTTATATGCTGTTTACTTTTCAAGTTGATAAAAACAGTTTCTCAATTCTAAATTTCCTGTGTCCATAGGTGATCTATTTAGCAACTGAGAAAAAAAAGGAAGATACTTTTAACATGCAAAGTTCCCTCCAGGCGTACTGTGTTTTCTCCGTGGGCGCTCTCCCAGCACTTTAGCAGTAACTCCCCAGCTGCACGCTGCAGTCGTACTCTGCCTACTCTAGCGTTCCTCAGCTCTGCTGTCCTTTTCCTTGTAGCTGGATCTTTGATTATCCTTTGATTTCCATGAAATGTTAATATTGTTGCCAGCATAGCAGGTACAGTGGAAGTCTTGTAGCAATGAGATTGTGTCACAATTTAGGATTTAAAATGAGTTAAAGTTTATATAAATTAAAGAGTCTCCATATGTCAAACTCTTGGAAAATCAAAGATGTTCCAATATCCTAAACACTAGAGAATACGAGAGAAGGTAGAGTGGGAAAAGGTTAGATAACCTTGCAAAATATTTTACTATTTTCTCTAAATATGAGGAAGTTTGAGATTATGATCTGGATCTACCAGATGTAACAAAGGTTAATTTAGCATGAAAAAGTTTTAGTCATATTAGCATCCATCCTATTCAGTAAATAAACAAATCATAGGACAGTGATGGATTAGCAGAACAATAGAGTGGGATCATTATAAAGAAAATAAATTATTAAAGGTGTCTTTATCGTTTTTAGTGCCATATTTAGTGTCTTTTTTGTAAATCAGTATCAGTGTCTTTTATCATTCTATGTGCATAGCAGGATTTTCTTTTCCCCCTTTTGTTGCCCCATGAACTTGGTGCTTATTACAGTGTTCACTGTTCTCTTAAAAGAGAGCAGTGGTATAGGTGTGCAGTTTCCCTGATGCAGGTTCCATTTTTAATATATTGTTCCACTTATTCTTTCTTCTAAGTAAATTACTAATTGTGCCAAATTTATGTAATAGTTTTTGTAATGTGAGATAAGAATTACAATGGAACCAATGCACATAGTTTTTTCTGAAACAAGCAGTCAAGGCAGAACATTAATCTCCAAATGAAAGGGCTGATCTATTTATTCATTTTGGAGGTTGGATACTTTATTCTTTCTTTCCGTCATCCTTTTCATTGTTTCCTTCAGATTCTAATTAGTTTTTCTTTTTTTAAGATAACTCCAATATAATCATTGCTGTTAATGCTTTAAATACTATGTGCTTTAAAAATGAAAATGGGACCAATTTGTCTGCTAAGAATTTGATTTTAGGTACTATAAGAGTATTAGGAAGTTATATACGACTGGTGTTAATTTCTAGTTGTCTTCTAGAAATCACTTGTGTTCCTATTTAATAAAAGGTAATTTAGAATACTACTTGTCCTTTAGAGTAGTTTAGTAATGGGCATTAAGCTGTGTCCTGGAAGGATGTACCTATTAGTAGGTGCATTTTAGAATGAGATATTAATATTTTATTAGCATATAATTGTGGCCATATGTCTCTGATTTTCTGAGGCAGATCTAATTTTAGATATTCTGTTAGTAGACCATGTGATCCTTCTTTTTGGTTTTGGAAATATAATCACTGTTAATGTTTTCCCTCCAAATAGAATACTGTTTTATCCATATAAATCATAACAGCATCTATCCCATGCCAGGGTTGGAAACTGATATTGGTATTACCTGTGTTTTTTCTTTGTGTGTTTTATTTCCCAGTTTCATCTTCTTTTAAAAATGAAAATATGGTGCCTTCCCTCCCTCCAGGAAGATTGGCAAATAGTTCCTTTTATTTACTGCTGCTGTGGAGTGATGAGATATGCACTTTACTCTTGAAGATTCAGCAAAAAGCTTTTCACTTCCCAGTATATCCAGAATACATCACATCTGGGACTTAGGAAAATTTGCCAAGCAATCCTTGTTTTTATAGATATTAATGTTGATCCCCCCCATTCAATGTTATAAGAACAAGTCAAGCTAGTGTTTGTTTATCTCCTCTCCCTCCCCAAAACTGTGGCACAGCATATAAAAATGTACCTCAATAATGTTCTATTAAAAATGGGACAGGGGCCTTATGTTTTCATAATTTCCCAACAATGTGCCACCATATTTTTGCCTCAAGGTAAAGGTTTTAACAGACTAAAAAGTACTTCCCAATTCCCTGTGCTATTTCTAACCTATGATGCCCAAGTGTTTTGTGCAATGTGTAGTGTGTGTGTATAAATACATATATTCTTGAAATAGACATACCATCAGAGACATCATTCACAAGTAACTGATGTATTGGTATCTCATTCATATTTCTGATGTGTGAGGTATATGGTACTAATTACCTTTTCCTTGATGTTTGCCAAATTTGAATAAAGACATTGGTACGAAATTACAGAATGTAAAGAAAATGTTTTTGGCTTGAAAAATTAACAAATATTTTATGACATACCACAATATACTCTGCCCAAACCAGCACCCTATCTATCTTTCCTGTTCTTTACATCCCTGTTCCCCATCCCTACTTCCTCATTTTTTGGGGGTATAACAGTTCTTTTGTAGCATCCTTATAATTGCAATTCTATGGCAATTGGACAATTATAGCATGGAAACAGACTGGTATTAATAGTACAGTAGTCACCAGTGTGCCACATTTGCATTAGTAATGCAAAATATACATTTTATAAGGAACAAACTTTGTGTTATGTTTTATTTTCATTACATTGTATAATATTGTAAGATTATTGTATGTCCTAATTTGCATTATAAATGTTTTTTTCCTACGTAAAGGCATAAATATAGCAACTTTGTATAAAGGTAGCTTATTAGATTTTTAATTTTTTCTTTTATAAAAAATGGTCTAACAGTGGGACTACCATTGCCAAATTGTACATGAAATATGAATTTTACCCCCATGGTTAACTTCTTTTATAAACATTCCATATTTCTCTAATAAAAGATATAAGTGATACTATACTATGCATAAATTGTATCTTAATGCTGTTTCAGATCAGCATTTTAAATTTTGGTTTGCATTTTTACTATTGGCAAAACGTAACCACTGTTAATTAAAATAAAACCTTGTATATGTAACAACATAATTTGCCCTCTATCCCTTCCCACCCTTTGTTCTCTATTTCTCCCTATCAGTGCCAACTTCATACATTTTGTAGCATGGCAATAAAATGTAACTTTTACACTGAGGCCGAGTGTGGCTTTTTGGAGGAAGTGGGGATGGGATGATTGCTCTCTAGTTGTCCTTTGCATATGACTCTCTTTGCTGTATAAGCCGTGTCATCAGGCACGAAAAGTTCTCTCATACACGATGTAAACATGCTTTTAAGGACAAGTGTGAATGTGCTTTTAAACTTAATTTTTGTCATGACAACTAATTTTTTTTTATCTTTGGAGAAGTCAGAGTTCTTGAAGTACAATCAAACTTTTATTAACTGGAGTACTTTTAATAAGCTAGTAATTGAATTTAGTTCAACAAGGGCTAAGCAACACATTTTTAAAATCCTTATTTATTATAGAGTATTAGTATACTTTACTGTCCTACAAATTATGTAAAATATGGTTTAATCTTAGATGACTTAGGATTTTGCAATGCCTTACTGTTGTCATTTTGGCATAAATATCCATGATGAGGTACTCAAGTTGATACTGGAAGCTGAGCTGACCATACACTAACCTGAAGCATTCATGAAAAACTGCTTTGTTGAATAAAGTCTGATTGGAGTTCTTTTCATGCTCACTTTCCCCTTATTGCTGAAAGTAGATTGCAATAAAAACCCCAATAAAAAGTTTGGTTGGATATTTGCTTAAAGTTTTATTGTATTTATATTTCACATATTGCTTGAAACTTTGACATTTTCTTTTCTAGTCTCATAACACTGCCTCTATTTTCAAAATGAACATATAATAAGATATTGAAATGAAATTGCAAATATTTGACAGGCTCTGTATGAAGTTCTCAGCTCTGAGACTTCAAACCTGTCTTTAGCCACTGAGTGACATTGCAAAGCCTTAGTTGAGTACAGGTCAAGTTTAAAATTATTTAAACAATGAAAGGGATGGACATGTCCACAAATGATTGATGTAACTGGCATGATAAAGACACACACAAAGGACGGGCATTCAACTCAGCCTAGGGGTGGTTTTCAAGCAAAGCTTCTTGGAGGGGGTGATCCCTAAGGTGTTTTGTCGAAAGCCTTTGTAGCTTAGAGAAAGAGAGGATGTCTTAAGGAGAAGGGATAGCATGTGCAAAGTCAGAGGTATAGAAATACCATGACATTCAGTGGTTGCAAGAGGTTCCAAATGACTAGCACATGGAGGGCAAAGGCAGGGTAGGGGTATAGAGAAGAAAGGAGAAATGAGAAACACATCACACAGAATCCTAAAGAGCTTTTGTTTAAATTAGGTGAGAGAACTTGAAGGATTTTAAACACCAGAAAAATGATAGTTTAGAAAGATTACTCTGACAACATGGGTACTTGAAGGGCACAGTATTTTAACAACGCAGGGAGACTGGTTAAGAGGCTTTTTTTCAGAAATGGAGCCAGATCTGATAAATGCCTATTCAAAGGCATTGTTAGAGGACCGTTTAGATTGTTTATTGCTGTGCAACAAACCACCCTAAAATTTAGTGGCTTAAAGCAGCAATCATTTTCTTTCTCAAGTTGCTATAGATCGGGATGGGCAGGGCACACCAGAGACAGCTTATCTCGTACGATGTCTGGAGGCCTAGCTTCCTCACATGTTTTGTGTCTTAGCTAGTATGGTTCGAGCAGCTGAGGGCTGGCTGGACCAGTTCAACCAGGTCATGTCTGGTACTTCAATTCTAGCTGTCTTGTTTTCCTTAGTTTTCTTCCCTGTAGTCTTGGGTCTTTCTTCATGCGGTCTTACATGGCAGTTTAGGGTTTCCAAAAGCACAAAAGTAGAAGCTGCTAGGCTTTCTTGAGGTCTAAGCCCAAAACTGGCACAATGTCATTTCTGTTGTATTTTGTTGAATTATGCTAGATCATGTAAAGGCATAAATATCAAAAATGTAGTTTATTCAGGGCCACCAATGTAACAGAGGGCCTAAAGGAGGAAGAATCAACACTTCTGATTGACAAGGGAAATGACAGAAATGGAGGGGTCAAGGATGACCCCAGTTGTCTGGTTTAGGTGACTGTGATGGTTGATGGTGTCAGTTCACTGAGATTTAAAATATATTTGGGGGCTGGGCATGGTGGCTCAGGCTTGTAAACCCAGCACTTTGGGAGGCTGAGGCAGGCGGATCACCTGAGGTCAGGAGTTCAAGACCAGCCTGGCCAACAAGGTGAAACCACGTCTCTAGAGGTTTGAAGAGAAAGATGGTGGGTTCCACCGGGGACTCAGTTCATGGTCTGTGGGTCACCTACATGGAGATGTCTAGTAGGTGGTAGGATAGATAGATGGTTTCTGTCAGCAGGAATTTCCCCAGTGATAAAGCTGGACAATCTTTTTAAAGACAATTTTTAAAGATGTTATAAATGACAGCCCTCCAGAATACCCTGTTTTATTACAACACTTCTCACAACTGTACAAAACAAAGCTTCACTCAAACTAGCCAGGCTCAAAGCACAGAAATGGAAAGCTAGGTATTTCTACCTTACCTCTCTCTCTCCCGTGCTGACATTCATCCCTTTCTGTGCACAGCCATAATAAAAGCTAACATTTACATAGTGCTTTTTATTTATTTATTTATTTATTTAGACCGAGTCTTACTCTGTTGCCAGGCTGGAGTGCAACGGTGCGATCTCAGCTTACTGCAACCTCCGCCTCCCAGGTTCAAGCAACTCCCTGCCTCAGGCTCCCAAGTAGTTGAGACTACAGTCGCGCACCACTGTGCCTGGCTAATTTTGTATTTTTAGTAGAGACAGGGTTTCACCATGTTGGCCAGGATGGTCTTGATCTCCTGACTTCAGGTGATCTGCTTGCCTCAGCCTCCCAAAGTGTTGAGATTACAGGCATGAGCCACTGCGCCTGGCTATATAGTGCTTCTTATGTGCTAGGTACTTTATTAATGCTTTTCAACCTCAGGATAACCATAGGAGATCATTTTGATTATTCCTATTATACACAAAAATAAAACACAGATTTGTTAAGTAACTTGTTCCAGGTCCCATCTTGTAATTTAGAGCCAGGATTTGGAACCTAGGCACTTTTCTATGGAGATGTTCTTGAATGCAGTTTGTTTCTCATTCTACACACTTGATCTAAGTACTAAGAAGTCTTTATCCATCTCTGCTTTCCTTTTGGGTGACTCTCTTGCAGGATGTAATTATGATCTTGTCCCATCTTCACTCCTAAGATAACTACCTACTCAAGACCAGAAACATTTTACTTATTTTCTGATTTGAAAAGATTGGTGATATGTAAAGGCCTAAAGATGTTTGGCTACTCTGCCAGGTGCAGTGGCTCACGCCTGTAATCCCAGAACTTTGGGAGGTTGAGGAGGGTGGATCACTTCAGTCAAGAAGTTTGAGGGCCGGGCACGGTGGCTCAAGCCTGTAATC